AAGGGTATATAGTCATACAACACTTACAGTGCCTCCCGAATATCACTAACTTTTGGGCAAACTGGATTGATTGCATTATCATCATCATTATCTTCCTCGTCATTATCATCATGTTCATTGGCTACATTTTTAACTTCTTCTACTAACTGTTCATCTGTCCCTTTGGGCATTTGTTTTTAAAAGTTACGTTTTAAATGTCTTTTAACGTTTTTTAAACGTCGCTTAAACTTTCTATACGTAAGAATGTTTAGAAGACGTTTAAAAGACATTTAAAAGATATTTAGAACGTAACTTTTAAAAACAAATACCCGCTGGGGTAAGTAAAGATTCTGTGCTAATTAAGCTTTCATCTGCAAAAACGACATATTCAGCTGTTGTACCTGGAGGGTAAAAATTATCAAGTTTTTCTATCTGATTTTGAGTTTTCATTGCATCTAAAATTGCATTTTCAATGCATCTAAAATTGAGAGAGTAGGAAGATTTTCTTTTATCAATAGCTACGGCCAGCCTTTGCAATGCTAAAGATCTGTAATAAACTTTCAAAGAGCGTTCAACTCCCTGATCCATTGGTTGAAGTTTAGATGTGGTATTCGGTGGTAATAAAATGAGCTCAATAGATTTTAGATTATAAACCGTCGGGTGTGCTGGGCAGTTATCTATTATGAACGCTACTTTCTTCTTTTCTTTTGTAAACTTTGTATCCATTTCTCGTGTTTACTCTTAAAACAGTACGCTATTCATCTTGCTTTCATTTTGATTTCTGTATCTGCAAGGTAAGTGCTTAATTCCTTTATTATTATTTATTTTTTTTTTTTAAATTTACAATGGCTTAAAACATAACAAACATAAACAAGGTATCTGAAAGAAGATCGCAAGGATCTTGTCGTCAGAACCTTAAAAAAGCATTTAACAAATATAAGATTAAAAAAAAAAAATTTATAAACTTTTACAAAATTGCAAGGCAAACAACCTGTGTCTGAAGAAAGATCAAGAAGATCTTCTCATCAGATTTTAATACAGGAGTAAACCAACATATAAATTAAAAAGTAAAAAGTATAAGAACAATAAATAAAACAAGTAGGAATAAACTTCTATAAACATAAAACTTCTATAAACAAAAAAAAAAATAGACCAAATATATTTTTAGCTTTTACCACTAATAATAACTCAATGTATTATCTAATGAAAGAATGAGGTTTTTCAGTTTTTTTTAAAAAGGCAAAAAGTAATAGGTACTTCAAAATTAAAATTCGCCAAAGCAATTATATTCCAAAGGTGTGGCGCTCGATAGGTAATAGAAAGTTGATTAAAGTTTGTTTGACAAAAAGGCTCATTTAAAAAGTTATTATTTCTCAAAATATATTTACTGACAGGTTTAAAAGAGAAAAGATCTTTAAATACGGCAAGGGATAAGTTATTTATCCACATATACACAAAACATAAAATATTAAATACATTTAACTCGTAAATATTCATAATTCTCATTTCAATAAAATAATGCTTCGAATAAGAGAAGCGATTTGCAAAATTGATTATACGCATTGCGCGTTTCTGACGGAGATAAAGGCGTTGCAACTTACTTTTTTTTGCACTTCTCCAAGCAATATTGGCATAATTTAAATAACTATGTATAAATGAATAATAAAGTTGGATTAAGACTTTCTTATTAAGATAGATTCGTGATTTACATAGGATGCCCATGTTTTTAGAAATTTTTGTGCTTATATAATCAATATGTTGATTTGAGGTAATTTTGATGGGAGAAGTCACTTTTTTGTAATCGAATGAAATAAAACCCATTTTGTTTTATTAGTATTCTAGGTTAACTTATTACACTTGAACCAATTAGATATACGTCTGAGTTCTTTGTTCACTGTTTTAAAAAGTTCATCGATATCATAGTTAGAAAGGAACAAATTTGTATCATCTGCATATATAATGCTTGTTAGTTTTGAAGCTTTATTAAAGTCATTTATATAAATTAAATAAAGGAGAGGTCCAAGGATTGAACCTTGTGGGATTCCACAGGTTATATTAAGAAAAGTGGGTTGGTTATCATTGTTAAATGGTATATATTGCTTTCGGTTAGATAGATAACTTTTGAACCATTTTAAAATTTTATTTTTTATTCCGTAGTATTTGAGTTCATAAATTAAAATATGGTGATTGACCGTATCAAAATCTTTTGATAGGTCAATAAAAATTCGTAGTGTATATTGTGATTTTTCGAATGATTTTGAGATTTCACGAACAAATTAGATAATTACATGCAGGGCCGGCGCGAGTAGGTGTCACGTAGGGGGGGGGGGGGGGGGGTGCCATTACAACTTTGGCCGACTAACTAGTCTAAAAGGGTCCAATTTGCCGACTAAAAATCATTAATTGGGGGTGTCGTCCCCTCCCCCCCCCCCACACACACACCCCTATCGCGCCAGCCTTGATTGCATGTTCATTTAACGTTTTTAAGATAACAAATTTTTAACGTTTTAAGATAACAAATTTTCTTTTCTTAAGAAAAATTTATCCTATAGAGGGGATACCAAAAGTTAATTACTCCTGTATAATATAAGTTAACTTCATGTTAATCTTAATAATTAATTAAGGTTTATGTTATGAAAAATATTACAAGAATTTAGTTAATATTTTCGTCAATTTAAAGAATGGTGAAGTGTTATTTTTTTGTGTTGAACTTAGGAATGTCAATAAAAATGGTTCTGCCTTACACTGATATGACCTATGTCAGTTGTAAATTACTCCAATAATGTGTTAAACAATAATTGGTAAACTTTTTTACCTCCTCATAATTATTATGTTAGTTTTACCGACAGATTAATTTTTTCCAATTTAAAGGCGTTTTTCTATTAGTTGTATAGTAATATTTGTATTGTATTGTATTAGTTGTATTATATTAGTTGAGAATTTGCAACTTTAAATTGTGAAAAACAGCCACTATAAATTAATTATGTAACAGACCGACCATAACCCGTATTACGGGTTACTTTTTGCTAGTATATATTATTATTCGTAACTACCTAACTTTGATAAATATCAAAAGTATGTGGTTGTGCCTTCTGTGCGTCTATGCAGTTCTGACTCAGATGAGAGTTTTAAGAAAGAATACTGTTTCATAGCATATTAAGTTATGTTGATATCAAAAATGGTTTTCACTTGATGAAACAATGCTAATAACACTTATCTTTAACACTTAAATCAAGTATAGCTTAATCCTCAATAGAAAGGTCTGGAAAAATATGATGTAAATATAATATTTTTATCAAAATAAACATTATTATTTGCACAACTTCTCAGAAACTTAACATGCACTCTTTTTGACATAAACAAGCTGTTTTACCAACTTCTGGTATGCTTTTTGCCGTATTAGATAGGGGAAAGCGGGGCAACATGGCGAATGGGGCAAGATGGGTTTTCATATAACAACTCAACAAAAAATTTTAAAATTGGGTGAAAACGAAACTGTATTTGCATCTTGTATTTTAAAACACCAACTGGTTTTTTGAAATATTATTAACGCCATTTTATACAAATAAGTTTACTTTTTGCGCTTAAAAAAAAATTCCTCACTTTCGGTTTCTCATAATGGTTGGTGTCCTTCAAGTTTAACTTCTTTAGAAGTAGTTTTTGCAATTTGTGTTTATTTTTTGTTACTTTAATTAGAGTTCTTGGCAGTTTTTAAAATTTTATAAAACTGGAGGTAAAAATTGCATAATAAGTCATCTTGCCCCGATCACGTGACCAGATGACAAATTTATGAACTTTTTATTTTAATATTTATTTCAAAATGTTATATTTGCAAACTGAAAATTCATGCAGGCAATGATAGAACTTAATAGCATAAACATACTGAGAAAGTATTATGGCTTCACGACTTATAGTTTTTCAATAACTCAGGGCTTTCAAAACGTTCGCCATGTTGCCCCGCTTACCCCTAACATTTTTCAAACAGAAATGTTAAAAAACTGTTGTGCCTGCATATGCG